CGCAACATCAGTTGGATGAAAAGACAAACGTAACATATGTACTCTGCAGCACTTGCATCGATAGCAAGGTCCGCAGCGAAACCCGCGCTCAGTGGTAGAGAGCAACCAAAAGTGAGAGGGCGCAGACAAGTGGTGAGTTTGGCTATGGTTGGACGTGGGGCTGAACGTGCGGCAGCGTGGGCAAAGCGTGGAGACGGCAACAGGGCACATTGCCTTCGAACACGGTTCCCGTGCTCTTCTCCGAGGAGAAAGTGCCACGGTACTGCATCCATTCACCTCGTACATGACAAGAACCAGGATCCACGGTGGTGAACGTACAGTTTGTCTTTACTGCAGTTTTTCCGGACAGGAAGGGCAATGAATGCTGTTTACAAAGGCGTTGGTGTTCCGTGCCATACACATTGTATTTTTTTAACACTGAGGAAAATAAAGTAGTTGAGCGCCGTGGTCCGATCAGTGGTGGTGGTGGAGGATGGATGTGTGAAGATCTGTCGATCGACCGAGAAAGATGGACTTAGAAATTGTCAACAGTGTTTTCAGCTGCAGCTGCATAGATACGAAAACCTCGACTGCCAGGCTGGGATGTGAAAAAGGTAAATGTTAAAGTGAAGGTCGAAGTGATCATTGTTTGACTAAGGGTGTGTCCCGATAGTCAAATGAGAATTCTAACGGCTTTACTTGAGAGAAGTTGATGGCGTCTCACTTTATCTGAACATGCAACACTTTTCACCATCAAACTGGGAGAAGATTGAGATGGCCCTTTTTGTAACGTTTTCCAGCTGGATCCAGCACCGCTGCACTATCGCAGTGCTGTTCAGAAGAGTCACCTAAAAGGGGAGTCGTGCAAGGCTGTCGACTGGTCAGGCAACCTCCAACCCGCAAGCGCTATATCTCACCGTGGGAACGGTAAACAGGTCCAGTAAAGATAGTTTGGTCATTCGTTATCGTTCTATATAACTGGATTTCTATATCAGTGCATTTTGATGGGTCCTATTGGGGTAAGCAAAATTTCTAGATGTATAAGAAATAAGCGTTGTAATTTCCGTAACTAAATAGTAGAAGACTTTGAAAAGGCCTCACAGCACGGTCGAAATAAGGACTGCCTAGAACAATCGCTGAACGCTTCATAAGTACCTATTTCATATTAAAAATAGGCCCTGAAACAACTCTAATTATTAGAGCAAGTGGCTGGAGCCTTGTGCAGCTGGATGACCTGACCAAGGGATTTGCTACGCCGCCACCTAAAAGTTTCATAAGGATTAGGTAATCCCAGCGCCATCGGAACATCCTCTTTGATAAGTATAATACCTTGAAAAGCAATCGCAGCAGATATACAACCACAAGGGAATGCTGGGCGCTATCACCCGTAAGGCAGATTCCATCGTTTTTCTAGCTTTCGTGGAGGATGAGGTTCTGATAATAAGGGCTGCTACCAGTTTTACGGAGTGGGTTCAAATTGCGGATTAAATTCTGGTCCAGTAAATCAATGCACACGCTTCCTGGATCGCTAAGTTAGTGAAAGGTTCTTCCAGAGGGGGAAATGCTCCTCACCACTATTTGGTCCCCAAAGGAGTTGTAAATGTATTGGATTCTATATAAACCTGTACCTATGATTACTTTGAACCTTCTTCTTCTCGACATACTGCTTACCAATATCGAATGGTTCAGCAACCTTCTGATCTGGTCGTGCTTCCAT